GCATGCCAATGTGCATTGGCTCGTTTAGTTTACACTCGAAGTAGATTGGTCTCTCTAAGCGAGATCCCAATTCGCCGGTCACCGACGTGACGTTTCCGTTCCCTCCTTCAGGGAACGAGGGTTACATACATAACCGAGACATTTGGCACGCACAGTATGAAGTAGCATCAGAGGGCAAGAAATTGCTGTTGCCCAGTTATTAACTACAAAAATTTAAATGACACTTCATGACAAAAATGTTTGTAACTTGAAACTGGTTCACTATTGCACAACTTGTGTTCCTGAATGAATCAATGGGCCTGTCCCAATACACACATTTGCATTCATTTCACTTGACCATTTGTTTACTCATAGCACTCTCTTGTTTACTCATGAAGACTGCAAGTGTGTTTAACTTTTGATTAACCTGATGGGACACAATTAAAACAGAGTGTTGTAAAAGTGCAACTAACACTTTAACAGAGCTTTATTTACAGATAAATGAAATGTCTGTTCAGTCCCTATGAAATGGATGACACACTTTAGTAATTGTGATGCTTAATTAAAGGAATTGTTCACCCAAAAATTCTAATTTACTCACCCTCAGGCCATCCAAGATGTAGTTGGTTTTTTTTTACCCGTAATCGGAGCAGGATTAAAGAAATGTAGCATTACATCACTTGCTCACCAATGAATCCTCTGCAGTCACTGAATGGGTGCCGTCAGAATGAGAGTCCAAACAGCTGATAAAAACATCACAATAATCCACATGTAATCCACATGACTCCAGTTTATTAATTATGCTTGTTTGTAAGAAACAAATACATTAAGACGTTTCTAACTTCAAATCGTTGTTTCTGACTAAAATACTAGTCCTCTATCAATAATACTGATTGCTCCAGTGAAAAAGTCATGTTGCCTGGAGCGTGGACGCATCCAAAGTGTAGCACTTTGTAGGGCATTATCTTTGGACACATAGACTGGAGCTCTGTTCTTGAAGACGTGTCAAAACTGAGACTAAGGACTTGTTGGAAGTTAGTGTGTCAGAGAGTTTTGAACCCTCTTATCCAGACAACCCTCATTAAATGAGTTCTTTTCACTTCAGAATGCATTTATATGTACTAAATAATATACAGTTTTAAAGGAATATTTCACCCAAAATTGAAAATTTGCTGAAAATGTACTCCCCCTTAGGCCATCCAAGGTGTAGATGAGTTTGTTTCTTCATTGGAACAGATTTGGATAAATTTCTCTCACCAGTGGATCCACTGCACTGAATGGGTGCCGTCAGAATGAGAGTCCAAACAGCTGATAAAAACATCACAATAATCCACATGTAATCCACATGACTCCAGTTTATTAATTATGCTTGTTTGTAAGAAACAAATACATTAAGACGTTTCTAACTTCAAATCGTTGTTTCTGACTAAAATACTAGTCCTCTATCAATAATACTGATTGCTCCAGTGAAAAAGTCATGTTGTCTGAATCAGGAGAGAAATATGCACAGATCAAGCACCATTTACCAAAACAGTTTTAAACAAATATGTTGCTGGATTTTGATGTAAGAGGACAACAGGTGGTGGACTTTTTCACTGAAGGAAGTGTTATTATGGACTAGTATTTTGGCCAGTTGTGTGTTGTGGATTACTGTGATGTTTTTATCAGCTGTCTGGATGCTCATTCTGACGGCACCCATTCCCTGCAGAGGATCCATTGGTGAGCAAGTGATGTAATGCAAATTTTCTCCAAATCTGTTCAGATGAAGAAACAAACTCATCTACTTCTTGCATGCCCTGGGTGAGTAATTTTTCAGCAAATTTTCATTTTTTTTTTTTTTACTATTATTTTAACTATTGCTTTAAAATACAAATGAATATACATACAATTGTACATATACAATAATGTATACAATGATTTATGTAATGCATATATTAATGACCAGAAAGACAAGTTTTACAAGGGCATCACAGAACCAGCATATCCTTGCCAACATCCTGGATGACGTGCCCAATAGGCGCCTGACTGAGCCTTGAGGTAGCACTGCTTCTTGCACTCCAACAGCGTCTCCAGGTCCTTCCACATCTTCATCTGTCTCATACTGGGCTCTTGGCTCTCTCGCACCTGCTTCACCTGCTGACGTAGAACCTGCAAGCCCAGAGACACAATGTTTATCGGCTTTGAAAAACTGCCTAGTGCTACATGTTCTGACTCTAATTCGAGATAAAAACAATCATTTACGTATGTTCAAAGCATGCCTGGTGCAAAAAAAAAAGACCCATGATACCTTATCTGAATCTCAAATTCTTGCTGAGCCATTCAATTTATTGTACCCACGTGCCGGCAGTCAATTTTGGCGTAATTAATGGATTCAGAAAGCTTGTAAAGTAGCAGCTGTAAACAAGTTAAAGGGCAGGACGGGCAGTTATGGGAGAGTTTGGCATGCTGTCGTCTCTCTTTCCACCGTGCTGAGAGGGTGGTCCACTGGTTGTACATCAGGGCAATGATTACACAAGCTTTGTTCGAAAACTGGCACGATGTGGAGCGACACTGATCGCATGCTCCACACAGTTTGGCAGAATTATCACAGAGGCCAGGCCCCCCGCCCTTAACTAACACCAAGTTGACCCCGACAGATGAGATAAAAACAAGTAAATGACCTGATGGAACTAAGTTA